AGGCAGCACAGGATCAGTCTTCTCTAGAACTCACTGTTGTATTTTTATGCCAAGAGCATCAGCAGACAACCAGCAAATGGGCTTGCAGTCTGCAAAAATAGTTACATAGAGATGATGATTTCTCCTAGAGAATAAGGTGTTAATGGGAAAATATTTATTATTTTTTTTTCTTGGTGAACCAATAATAAACAGAGAACTTATTTTCGAAAATAAATTCAGAAAATCAAGTATCTAAATCTGGTAGGGATGCCCATAGAATTTTTGTAAGGAACATATATAATTTTATTTCTAAAAGTTCATTTAATGCCATTAGCTAGTATAGGATTCAAAGGACATTTAAAAATCAGGTGAATGTAGTAAAGGCAAATACATATTTTTGAATGAATAAATACATTTAGAAAAATCAATAAATATAAAAACCATGTGTAAAAACCGATCATACCAGCAACAAATTGGAGATGGAATTGTAAAATATGCTTTTTAAAAAGCATCATAAAACATTAAATTCTTATTAATAGACATAATAAAAGATGTGAAATCTTTTTTTTTTTTTTTTTTTTTTTGACGGAGTCTCACTCTGTCTCCAAGGTTGGAGTACAGTGGTGTGATCTCGGCTCACTGACACCTCCGCCTCCCGGATTCCAGCGATTCCCCTGCCTCAGTCTCCCTCCTGGGCTGGGATTACAGGTGGGCGCCACCACGCCTGGTTAATTTTTGTATTTTTTAGTAGAGATGGGGTTTCACCATGTTGGCCAGGCTGGTCTTGAACTGCTGACCTCGTGATGCGCCCGCCTCCGCCTCCCAAAGTGCTGGGATTACAGACTTGAGCCACCGCGCCCGGCTTTTTTTTTTTTTTTTTTTTTAAGACAGTCTCACTCTATCACTCAGGCTGGAGTGCAATGGCGCAATCTCGGCTCACTGCCTCCCAGGTTCAAGCTCTTATCGTGCCTCAGCCTCCTGGGTAGCTGGGATTACAGGTGTGCATCACCACGGCAGGCTAATGTTTGTATTTTTAGTAGAGGCAGGATTTCACCATGTTGGCCAGGCTCGTCTTAAACTCCTGGCCTCATGTCAGTCTCCTGCCTCATCCACCCAAAGTGTTGGGATTATTGGTGTGAGCCACTGGGGCGGGCCTAAGATGTGAAGTCTTGACACTGTACAAAACATTATTAAAATGTTAAAGAAGACCTCTAGATTATGGTTTTGGTTTACTATCCAAACAATCATACCATCTACAAATAATAACTATTCATTTTCTTTATTTCCAGTACTCATGCATTTTATTTCTTTTTCTTGCCCTTTGTACTCGTAAGACATCCAGTACAGTATTATCTGGGAATGACGATACTTTACATCTTTTAAAAATATCTAATTCCAAAATAAGAAAAACAATTTTTCAGTGTTTAATGTGATTGTGTGTGTGTGTGTGTGTGTGTGTATGTGTGTGTACGTGTGTCTGCTGTCTGTCTGCCTGTCTGCCTGTGTATTCTCTGAGAGGTAAGGAAGGTTTTTTCCATTTCAAATTTTCTAGGACATTTTTGCATAAACAAGGTCTAAATTTTGTCCAGTGCTTCTTTCTATACCAATTGAGGTGACCATATACTTTTTTTCTTCTTTAACGATGTCAAATGTGGTAATGATACTAATCAAATCTTTTAAATCCTTATTATGTTATTTTGTGCTTTTCTATCATCTCTTGAGCATAAAGTCTCCCACCATAACAGGGAGTTGACTTTTTCTTACTTTATTTAATCAATTTTCAATTTATATATTTTAAAGTTATATTTTGGGTCTATGTAGATTTAGCATTTTAATGATTTCCTAATAGATTTACCCATTTATCATTATGAAAAGTCCCTTTTTCTCCCTTGCCTTAAAGTATAAGTCAGATTTCGTTAATTCGGTTTTTGCATGATTTGTACTTTCCATTTTTTAATTTTTCAAGCCATTTTATGATCTCATTGCAGTATTTTATAAGCAGCATAAACCTTTCATTTTAATCTTGTTTGATAAAAAATTTTATTTAGAGAAATTTGTCTGTTTATGATGTCTAAATTACTGGTAGTTAGAGTTAAATCTACCATCCTTTTTTTTTTTTTTCAGATTTCCTGCTTTCTTGTTTTCCTTTGGATTAGACATTTTATTATCTTTTTCCTTACATTAACTTGTTAAATATACAATCATTTATTACATAGCAGCTATCCTCAACTTATTACTTCCTAGTACCAAATATTAATTTACCACTTCCTGAAATAGAGTTAGATTTTTAAATTCCATTTGCACTACTTTTTATGTTATTTTTCATGCCATTCAGTTATATATGCATTGCAAAATTCACAAACCATGACATATATCATTGTGCACAATATTAATTTGTATTTATTCATATATATCCTTTCCTGTGTCCATCTCTTATATATCTTTATGTTTCTATTTAGTCTTACATTCTTTCTGTTGCAGAATTGTCTTTAACATTTTTTTATAGAGTACTACTGATATGTAACTGCCTAATATTTTGTTGTTTTACAAACAGTATTTATTTGCATATTCATTTTGCCTCATTTTATTTCTTTCCTTTTCAAAGGCCCCCAAAGATGTCAAATTACTTACTGATATTTATTTTCCATTGGAAGGATTGAGTTCCTTTTGGGTTCTTTTTCTTACATGTAAATGTTGTCATACAATTTCATACTCAGCAAAGATAGTAATACATAGATATATTAAATGCACTTGCCACTGGATATATTTTCTTGGAATAGGCAGCCATCTTCCACATAGCTTATGTCCTTTATCAAAAGCAGGATCATTTTGATTTGTTAATTCAAACTATCTACTTCTACTGTAACATGATGAAATAATACATATAGCCTTTTATGGACCAAATAATATTAAAGTACTATTGTAAATGTAGTATATTTAAAGCATATATGTGTGTAATTTCTGCATACATTACTGGAATATTAAATTCAGTATTTCATGTTTGGTATTCAGTATCAATTACTGTAAACACTGATCAGATCATTATCATTTCTGCAGTTGTCTTTTCCTTCATTTCCCTGTGCCATATTCATTTATTGATCTAGATGTGAATGTTTTGCAATATAATATTCAAAGTGACATTCCCACTTTGTAATTTAATTGAACTATTTACTTTCAATAGTGAAGTAGTAAGGAATAGGCCTTAGAAGATGGACACAAGAATTGCAATAAAGGCAGGAGAGCAAAACTAAATTTAAAAAAATCATATTTATTATAACATCAGAGAGTTGGGGAAAAAATAAAGAACAGATAGCCTAAAATTCCACAGAGGAAAGACGCCTTTGTATGTTGCCTTGTGTCATCCTGTCACTTTGTGCCTCAGTGAAATTTGCCAAATATGAGTGTGATTGGAGATTCTGGTTTGGCCCAGGCAGAAGATCTCTACAAGAGTGGGGAATTCATCTCACCTTCGGCAGTGGCATGTACCTGCCTTACAGACTATGGATTATATGGCATGAGTGGAGCCCTTAACACCAGGCTGAATTTCTCCTTGGGACATTTGCTGAAGCCTGGGTTGAGAATGGTAGCTGGGTGGGTCAGCTAGAGAGACACAGTGAAACCTCCTGCATTCTCATGAGTTTTCCCCTACCATGATGCCCTGATTTTCCTTTATGTGTGTCTGACCTATGGGCCTTGGGCTCCCACCGCTACACCTCCTCCTGATCTTCCCAGCCCCTGCACTGCTCTGGTCAGCATCATCTTTATTTTAACTATAAACTTTCTTGAATGATCCTTTCTTTCTCTAATCATTCCCAGGTAAATGATAGGGGCAGGATCTACTTTTCCAAGGTCTTCTATGTCCTGCCGGATTGGCTAGGAATGTGTGATATGACCTGAGGTACATTTGGACAGGGACTTGTCTAAACTTTGAGTCACTAAAGGCTGTGTGACGCAATACTTCCCTGTGAGTTTGCCGTTGCGTCAGAGCACAGCCTTGAACTCCACGCAGGAGTCCCACAACTCTGTGATTCCCCCCAAGAAATACAGCAGAGTTTCCACTTGGGTTCATATATCAACTCCAGCGCACCACCACCAACACAGTAACAGCTGCCCTCACATTCTTGCTTACTGCCCTCTGCCCAGAGGCTATAGATTGTGGGGCAAAATATAAGCTTATACATTATTTTATATTAATCCAGATTCCATTGAATATGACATACATTTTCAGTCTTTTTTCTTTTATCTTTTTAAACTTGGATATTTATTTTTAAAACACAGCTTTGGATTTCATAGAACTTTCTTTTCATTTCAACATACTGTGAATAAGATTTTTTAAAGATTTTTGTCATTAGGTCTCTGTTTTTGCATAAACTTACTAAAATATATCTAGTAGTTAAACATCTAGAATATAAATACACTCAATCACTCTCTAAAAAAAAAAAGTATAAAATGCTGTGCTTTCTGCTGTCCCAGAGATGTATGTCAAGAAAAGTATAAGGTGGAAGGTAGAAGATGGGAGGGAAACTGTTTTAGTATCAGCAAATCTTGTCAAGGTACATGTACACTAGTAACTGCTAAACCAAATCAAAACCAAGAATGTATTAGTTTTGTATTGCCACTAATCTGTTTCATTTAGGCGGTTGTCAGGCTGAATGAATTTAGTTGATGAATTGAACGTAGGCAAGGCAGAGAGGATTACGATGAGCTTTGATTCAGCTTTCCCTTGCAACATGACTGGTTGTTCAGAGGGCACTTGACCTTCCTCCATTCTCCTGCAAATTCTGCCAGGCCAAGACTCTTGCAACTGATGGGGACTAAAATTGTGATACCTGAGATGTAACCGAGATATTGATGGTCAAGAGCCCTCAGCTGTAATGTATTACCCTGAGTTCTCCATAATCTTCCTCTTTACTCTCCCAAGATAATCTACGGTGTCTGCTTTCCAGATAAACAACACATTTGGGCAGCTGAACCACAGCAAGAAGGGAGGTTTCTGTTCAGGGTTGTACCACTGTGGGAGGAAACTGTATACCTTGCGTGCATTAATAAACCCCAACATCCTCAGCCTCCACCTGGCTGATTTTCAGTGTGAAATCAGTGCCTGACCCACTGCCACTGAACCTATCTGGGACTCCAGCAAAACGGTTGGAACCCCCATAAATCAGGAGCTGTGGAGACTGGCCTGGCTTCTGCAGGTACCAATGCAAATAAGTGTTTCCATCACTATGCAGGAGGTTCTGATTAGACCTGCAGGAGATGGAGGCCGGCTCTCCAGGGGTGACGGGCAGGGATAGTGGAGTCTGGATCATGACAATATCTCCACTGGATCCTGAAATAGTGAGAGAAGTCCAGGGTTATCTACAAATATTGGGAACCATTAAAATGATATTCTTTCTGTTATTTACTTTATGCTAAGTGATTTTTGTGTGTGTGTGACTTTGGCTCATACCCCTAAATATTCAGGTTTAAAAAAACATTCATGAGGCACAAAAGAGACTCAAGAAGTTGCCTACACTATTCTCCTCTTCCTGTGTCACACTCTTCACGAGAACACAAGTCCTTTGTCCTTCTAGGATATGAAGCTTAGAACTGTAAGAATGAGGAATCTTCTATTTCTCACACTTGCAGTTCTAAACGTTATACCCCTTTTCTTGTAGGTCAAGATGTGCATGTGGACAGGCAGTGGGGTCCCCAGAGCTCACCCTCCCATCCCATTCTCCTCCCTTATCTCCCTTCTGTCCTTACCAGGAACCCAGAGCATTAGCAGCCCCAGGAGCTGAGCAGGGAGCCTCATTGTGAGAAGGTGACCTGAGGAGTCCTGATCAGTCAAGGCAAGGTTAGAGCTGAGCTTTTATCTCAGACTCACAATGGAAGGTCCTCCCTAGGGGACAGTATGCAAATCCCCTGGTGGGTGCACTGGTGTGGAAAGAGCCAAGAGTATGGGGACATCCAGTGTGAGCACAGTGACGTAATGTGTCCTCTGTGTTTGGAGGGAACCTGATAAAGTTTGCGCTGCCTGAGTGGAAAAAGGGACATATTTAATCATGTTCTTCTGTTTCCTCTAAGAGATTTCTAATTTGTTTTCACTTTCCCAAACACATTTTACACTTGTCTTTAATAGGCTGAGCTTCCATAAATATTTGGTTATTCTTATTTATTTAATTTGTGTGTGTGTGTGTGTGTGTATTGAGACAGAGTTTCACTTACTCTGTCACCCACCCAGACTGGAGCACAGTGGCAGGATCTCGGCTCACTGCAACCTCAACCTCCCAGGTTCAAGTGATTCTCCTGCCTCAGCCTCCCCAGCTAGCTGAGATTACTGGCATGCACCACCATGCCTGGTTAATTTTTGTATTTTTGGTAGAGATGGGGTTTCACTATGTTGCCCAGGCTGGTCTCGAACTCTTGACTTCAAGTGATCCTCCCACCTCGACCTCCCAAAGAGCTGGGATTACAGGCATGAGTCACCGCACCTGGTCAGTTATTCTTAGTTATTATTTTCATACTTATTTTAGCATGTAGATTTTTTCTTTTTTCTTTTTTTTTTTTTTTGAGATGGAGTATCGCTCTGTGGCCCAGGCTGGAGTGCAGTGGCGCGATCTCCACTCACTGCAAGCTCCGCCTCCGGGTTCACGCCATTCTCCTGCCTCAGCCTCCCCTGTAGGTGGGACTACAGGTGCCCGCCACCACGCCCGGCTAATTTTTTGTATTTTTAGTAGAGACGGGGTTTCACAGTGTTAGCCAGGATGGTCTCCATCTCCTGACTTCGTGATCCGCCCGTCTTGGCCTCCCAAAGTGCTGGGATTACAGGCGTGAGCCACCGAGCCCGGCCTAGATTTTTAAATTAGTTTTATTTTAGTTGATAAAATCCCAGAGTAAAGGGCACAAATATTAAGCATGTAACTGAATGAAGTTTGTGTATATTCACTGTCAAGGAGGAACTGTAGAATATAGTTCTGAAATGCTTTTTTTTTTCTTTCTTTAGATTCAGTAATTTCTATTAATTTCTCTTTCTTTATTTTCAAGTTCGCTGATTTTTCTGTCATCTGAGACTGCTATTGAACCTATCTAATACTTTTTTTTTTTGTAGTCTCAGAGCTGCAAGTGTATTCGAAGTGTCAATGATCAAGGTGTCCTGGAATTCACATTAATTCTCGCAGTTAGCTGTGTTCTTCATCAACGCATGAACCAAGTCGTCCACCGCTAAGAGTAAAAATATGGAACGCTTCATGGATTTGTGTGTCATCCTTGGCAGTGGCCATGCTAGTCTTCTCCGTATTGTTCCACTTTTAGTATATGTGCTGCCGAAGTGAGCACGTATCTGATACATTTTAAATTTGATTATTATACATTTGGTTTCTAGAATTATCCTTTGGTCATTTGTCATACTAACTCTTAGAATTTTAGACTTTTTCTTTTTTTAGTGTCCACATGCTGAATCATTGTACTTATATTTTCCTCTTAAGTCTTCAATTGTAGCTTCAAAAATAATTCTTTGAACATCTGTACAGTAACTGCTTTGTAGTCTTTGCTAAAGTTAATATTTAGCACAGATGAGAGTCAGCTTTCACCAACACATTTTTGTTGTGATGGTAATTGTTTTGCTTTTCTTTCCTCAATATTGATTATTCTTTTCTATTTCTTTTCAGGGTTTTTTTGTGTTTTTTTTTTCCTGAAAATTGTACATTTTAGATAATACACTATTGTACCTCTGTCTGGATAAAGTTTTATTTTTCTGAGCATTTTTTAGTTACTTTTTAGTTACTTTTTGAACTTACTGACAGTCTCCAACTTATGATAACTGTATTTAAAGACTTTTTGACTTTACAATAATCTGAGAGTGATACACATTCAGTAGAAACTGACTGTACTTTGAGTACTCATAAAACTACTCTGGGCGGATCACGAGGTTGGGAGATCAAGACCATCCTGGCTAACATGGTGAAACCCTGTTCTACTAAAAAAAAAACCAAAATAGTTAGCCGGGCGTGGTGGCAGGCGCCTGTAGTCCCGGCTACTTGGGAGGCTGAGGCAGGAGAATGTCGTGAACCCGGAAGGCGGAGCTTGCAGTGAGCCAAGATCGTGCCACTGCACTGCAGACTGGGAGAGAGACAGCGAGACTCTGTCTCAAAATAAATAAATAAATAAATAAATAAATAAATAAATAAATAAATAATAAAACTACTCTGTTTTCCCTTTCAGTGCAATATTTAATAAATTCAATGAAATAGTCAACACTTTATTATAAAATAAGCTTTATTTTAGATTATGTATTTGGCTGTAGGTGAATATATATCTTCTAAGCACATTTAAAGTAGACTAGCTAAGACATGATGCTCAATAGGTTAGGTGATTTAAATGCATTTTTGACTTACAGTGGTTTCAACTTACAATGAGTTTATGGACGGTAATCCCATCAGAAGTTGAGAGCATCAGTGTGCTGAAGAATCCATTTCCCACTTGGCAGTCAGAGAGGAGTTGGGACAGTGGAGAGGGCTGCTGCAGTGATGGAGGAAGGATGGAGGGCTGCTGCAGTGATGGAGGGCTGCTCCATCACATGGAGCCAGGGATGTTGGAGCATCTTGAACATGAAAAGCAAGAAATTAGATTCTCTCCCCTGGAGCCTCCAGAAGGAATACCGCCCTATTAACTCCTTGATGTTAGCTCAGTGAGACTTCTCACCTCCAGAACTGTAAGATAATAAATTTGTGTTCTGTGCAGCCAGTAAGGTCATGCTAATTTGTTACAGGAACACGAAACTAATGCAAGCATAAGAAATGACTTTTATCTTCCTGATATCTTCCTGCATGGTTGTCCTCTGTTTTTCCCACATATCTCCACTTTGTTGTCATTTGGTGTCACTTGTGACAAGAGTTGGAGAACATTTTATTGTAAGCGGGGGAGGTAGTGCCAGAATTTTTCTAAGACAGAAAATCTCTTGGGTCAAATCCTTTGATTAGCTCTTGTATAATCTCAGTACCTGTGAGTCTAGCATTCAGCTCTCACAATATATGATGGGGCGGGGGGGTACTATTTGATTTCATATTTGGAGGGCAAACTAGATTTTTAGGACACAGTCTGAGAGGTACCAACTGAGTCTGAGAGAACAGAAGACAAAGAGGTGATGTAGAGGGGGCCAGGGGGATGCAAGGTATATCCCTGCTCCAAAATCCAAAATAAAGTTGTTTACAGTTTGTAAGGGCTTTGATGGTTGTGTTTTGTAGAGAGAACTACATATGGGGCTAGTTTAAGACTAGAATCATCATGGTGTGAGACAAAGGCAGCAGAGAACTGAAGATTTCACACCCTCTTTATGATTTTTCTCTTTCATTATAGGCCATGAGCTCATCTATGAGATGAACATGGTCATGTGGAAGGAACATAGTAGTCAAGCAAACCTGGGTTCAAATCCCAGCCCCAAAACTTTCTGTCCATGTGACTTGGGGAAACAATCCATGAGGCCTGATCATTAGTTTCCTCCTGTGTGAAATGGAGCATTCTGTGTAACATGGGCTGTCCCAAGAGTTAACAGATAATGCACATTGAAGTACAGGTGTGTATGTGTGTGTGTGTTTATACACCTAACTGGAGAGATAGATAGACAGACAGATAGATAGATAGATAGATAGATAGATAGATAGATAGATAGATAGTTTTTTTGTGTATTTGTTGTATGTTTTCTGGCTTGAGGTTACCATGAAGCTTGCAAATGCTATCTTATAGCGCATTATTTTAACTTGATAACAACTTAACACTCTTTGCATAAACAAACAAGTAATAAGAAACCTAATATAAACTCTGTGCTTTAATTACATACCCCCATTTTTGTTGTTTTTTGTTGTTTATCTTCACAACAAGCGGACTCAAGAGACCTTTAGACTTACGGGAACATTGGCAGTAGTTTGGCAGTACTCCTCATGGCATAGGGTGATGGTTACTATAGGGTTAGGCTCCTCTGTGAACAAACTTTTTGTTGTTTCTATTTATATCTTATTGTTCTATGTCTTGAAAAATTGTTGTAGTTATTATTTTTGATTGGTTCATTGTTCAGCCTTTCTATTTAGGTTAACAGTTGTTTACACACCACAGTTAGTCTTAAAATATTTTTATATTCTGTAAATATAAATATTTACAATAAATTTAAAAATTCTGTATTTTTCTGTATACTTAATTTTACCACTGAGTTATATAACTTCAGGTGATTATTTATTGCTTATTAATATCTTCCTTCTTACTGAAGTATCTCCTTTAGCATTTCTTATAGGAAATGTCTGGTATTGATGAAATTCCTCAACTTTGATTTGTCTGGGAAAGTCTTTTTTTTTTTTTTTCTGCTTCATGTTTGAAGTATATTTTTACCAGATGTACTATTCTAGGGTATAAGTTTGTTTTTTTTTTTTCCTTCAGCACTTTAAATAAGTCATGCCACTCTCTTCTGGCCTATAAGATTTCCACTGAAAATTCTGCTGCCAAATGTATTTGGGCTTCTTTGTATGTTTTTTGTTTATTTTCTCTTGCTGCTTTTCTTTATCCTTGATATTTGGAAGTTTCATTATAAAATGCCTTTTTAGCAAGGTAGTCTTCTTTGGGTTAAATCTGTTTGTTGTTTTATAACCTTCTTGTATTCTGATATCATTCTCTAGGTTTGGGAAGTTCTCTTTTATTATCCCTTTTAATAGACATTCTACCCCTATTTCTTTCCCTACCTCCTTTTTAAAGTTGATAACTCTTAGATTTGTCCTTTTGAGGCAATTTTCTAGACCCAGTAGACATGCTTTATTGTATTTTATTCTT